GCCGTGAACTTGAAAATGTGTGACATTGAGCACTGGCAAGTGATCTTGTTGTGTGGTACATACGCTTCATGGATTTAATTGACACCGAAAACAATTTACGCCATTACACCCTGAATAGAAATTGTAGCTATTATTTGAAACTGTTATGTTCTCAGTTGCCTTATTTGAAAAATGCAAATGCCAAAATTTTTGAATATACATTTCGACTTTTGTAACGCAGAGAGAGAGTTTGGTGTTCATTTTCCCCCAAAAGCAATAATTCACTTTTCCAGGGTGCAATACATCGACTATTTCATTGTTTTCTTTATGTGTGTGTATATAGCATATGTATGGGATCCTTTTTCGTCAGATCTTCCTTTCGGTTGAATTTCCAGAAACCTCAATTCTAGTTAGAAATCGCGACTTTTTAAAACATATTTGTGAATTGAGGGAATTAGTGACAATTTCGTCTAAAATATACCCATTTGAAAGTAGGCGTTTAAAAACTCCAAACATTATTTTTGACACCCTATCGCTCGTTACGATTTCATTCCAGTGAAATCGTAGAATCGGACACGGTGACGCACTTCTCTCGAACAGGAATGTACAAGCCGTCACGGTAGTAACCACATTCATCAGTAAACAGAGAGATCAGTACAACTCTTTACGACTGAATAAACACCGGTACACGGACTTTCCTCCAAAAGTGGATACTTTTTTATCATTTTTAGCTAAAAAAAAGGAGAGATGAAGTCGTTGTAAACTTCGTCAAATTAATCTCATGTCTATATTATTGTTATATCAAGTTTATCATACGGAGAAACTCTAACCAAATAACCGGGTTCAGCTTTTAATTTCAGGTGAACTTTGATACGACTACCAGCAGGAAGCTGAATTTGAATTGATCATGTTACCTTTGTTTTATTATCGAGTTGACATACTGAAAATATAAGCCAGTAACGGCCACCATACGCAAGTCTGGCGTGACAACACAGTAAACACTAACACCGTGTATAAATGTTCACTTTCATAAAAATCAAATAATTATTAATAAGTATGCGAATATGTACACAAAAGAACATAATCTTGACCTTGTGATCATGACCTAAATAGCTGGGCCGATGAATTAAGGTATGCGTGCATACTGACACCACCTGTTGATGCATTATTAAAACATGAAAACAGTGTGTATCCCTTCAAAACTGGGGCTGAAAAGAATAAGCCGTTCACGGTCCGCCATTACGGGTTTCAACTGTGGGCATTAAATTTACGTTTTCTGCTGTTAAGCCCGGGGGCTGTTTGAATTACGTTAAAAGAATGCAATAAATACTTAAGAGATCGTAATACTATTGACAGAACCGTCTGATGAACTATCGCCATTGAGGTCCTACTTGAGAAGAGAAAACATAAATGCGACGGAATAAAGGTCGGAATCCTCAATCGTAGTGTAGTAGGTACATTTGTAGCTCAACATGTATTGTAATATGTCCATAAGTAACTTATTAACAAAGTCTGAAACTACTTTTATTTTTATGTGCAGCTACGTACAACGGTTTCCACCGTTCATATGGCACAATAGTCAGTAATTATTGTAATTGTTCACTTCTGTGTGCATAAGGCGTCTTTCATGACTACTTGATGTTATAGAATCAACGGTGTTGCCCTAATAATACTGTACACGATACGAATTGGATAAACAAATCTTTCTCCTCCAAGTTAAGCAAGTATTGATGCGCTGTTTTATAAGTAAAACGAAATACTACTAACACGAAGTTTTAAATAGCAGCGGCAGCAATTTGTAGCGTGTTTTTGTTTGATACAATTGTACTCATGGCGAAAAGTAGCGATCAACATTATTAAGATTAAAACCTGATTATATAATAATACAATAAACGAGCAAAAATGAAAAAAAATAATCGTGTTACCTACCGATTAACTCTAGACTCGGATAAAACACGTGTTGAACAACGCTTAAAAACAAACTTGACCTCGGTCGATCTGACTGTGTTAGATAGTTCGACAGCAGCTTGCATACGCCGATAAATTGATTTAAACAGACTGTCACTAAATGCTTCGAAAAATCATGAGTTTAGAGTGAGAGTGACTTGTGTCACTTTCCTAGGACCCTCGGCCTATTCCATCCTACGTACCGTGCCTGTGTTTATATACGGTAGCTAGCACCTCCGTTGAACGGAGTGGAAATTTGCATATTTAGTAAGTGTATAAGTATCTCCTTTATGCCTTGGCTACAAATCATGGGGAACAATGAAAAGACACATTCACTTTTTACCCACATACGGGTTTTATTATCAGAGAGGGGCGCAACCAGGCGAAACATTCACCTTTCCCCTGCATTCGGAAAATATTTACTTTACTTCTGATAACAAGTTACCTAATTGTTAAGCGTCGTATTGTCGCTAAGTAATCGACGATTTGACAAGAAACGACGATATAGTAATGTATAAAATCAGTGATTATTGTCGCAGAGATAGAAATGCGGTCCTCGAATCATTGAACGCCATCAACGGCGGAATAATGGGTTCTGCAGTGAGCTGTGGCGCTGAGGATGGCGTGTGACAAAGATGGATTGCGAGGCAGTCATTACGTCCACCCACAGTTCTTCTAGTGAGATAATAACACCTCGCTAATCTTCGGAACATTGTTTACCCAATGAAGAGAATAAAGTAGGTGTATTAATTTATGAAGCAAATTGGAACCTTTGACCTTTGTCGAAAATGGTGTACGAGAGTTGAGCTATAGACGGTGAAAGGTGCCTCTTTGTCTCGATCTTCTATAGGAACATATACAACCCATAGTGTTACCTCCTATTGCAAAACAATACAAATATATAATAATAATGAATTATTAATCTTAAACGGCTTACAAGAAAATATACAAGTTCTTCAGCACTTTCCACTATTATATTCAAGTTGGTCAGCCTGGGAGCTGAATAGAATTTCCTTCTTAAAAAAAATAGAATGCGATAAATATCTTCATTTCCTTTATCACAACATACCTTTACATACCCTGTCACACTTATAGTTTCAGCATTCTATCTATTGTAGAGCGTGATGTCATGATGATTATTTATATAATTTCCTTTTTATTGTTGTGTTTTACTCAGCCATAGTGCATTACAAATTTTATATCATGGAAGCTTACATCAAAACGCTTTATTTCCTTTTCTTCGCTGACTTTAAAGAAATTTTTAAAACAACTACAATTTTGTGGTCTTTTTAGACCATAGACGTGATCCTAAATCTTGCAATACTGGTGGACATAGTACATTGATTTCAGAATCTTGCCAAAGTGATACAAGTATTTTTTTATTCACTGTACTTTCTGACAGCCTGTGAGCCATATACTAAATCCATAGTTAATTGATGGCATGATTATATTTTGCCACATGACATCACCACATTCAACCTTATTGTAACTGTTTACAATATGCTAATATTTTCATTGCTTTTTTTATAAGTTTCCATAAAATGTGAATGATCCTTCAATGATTTTGAGATGCCTAATTATTCGCTTGTGTTACTTTCTTTAAGTGTCAAATTTCTAACTTCCAAATTCCCCCCCCCCAAATACATTATCTGGGTTTTTGATTTATTAAAGCGTTTTGATACACATTATAATTGTAGTGTGAAAGCTTTAACGTAGCCTGACGAGGTCGCGTGAGTTGCGCCCTCCGCGGTGCTCCAAACCCAGCATGATGCCGTTCGGTCGGCGAAGGCCTACTCACGCCTATATGTCAAACTACCCTGAACGTACTTCGGCTGGCTTCCGGTGTCGTTTCGCGCAGAGGACGCCGGGAGCCCACGAAATAACGTACTGTACTATAAACTCTGGTAAGAAAAAATGATTTTTTCTCATACACTCGAAGACATATTATTGAAAATGAGTACTACTGTGAATATAAAAATTGCTTAGTATTATTTATCGTGAAATAAAACGTTGTTTCGATCGCACACACACACCCACATGAGTTCGTACGTACGTAACATTGATTCAATGTACATTTGTATAATTTATAATTTATAATTTATTATTTCATAAATTATCCATGTTGTCAAAATTTATGCATCTACAAAACCAGGGCGCGAATTCTGTGTCCACGGTACGTATGACGCATGCGCGTTGGTTTAAAAATAAAAACTGTAGCGTAACGAGCCTGACATGGCCGAGGTTAGTTGCAGTTATTACGTCTTCGCCGACGGATTCAAATGTATCGCCGTCAGGTTAGGTTGGATGATGAGTTGACTTTAAATTGACTTGGTTTTAAACTACATTCACTTTATCGAAGAATTCATTTTAATTTTTAATTCGCATATAATTTTATTAACAACCAATAACTGATATCATTGTAGGCATTTCCGTGGTGAAATAAAATGGTCTTCACCTTCTATGTTTTTGTTTCTATTATTCGTTTAATATGAACCAGTTCTCAGCTACAGTATCCAATAAATTAATGAATCTCACTAACTTTAATGTCATTTAACAAACATTTAATTAATTCGACATTGGCAGTGAAACAAGAGAAAAACTAGGATAACTTTTCTGTTTTTAGGGTTTCACCTCTATTTTACATGGATAAATATATGTATATATAAATTTGACAGTATGACTAGAAGATTTTTTGTTTTAAAAAAAGTATCAATTAAATATGTAATAATTCTTCCTGTATATTTTCGTTACAATAGTCTTCAATACATGACTATAACACTTTTTTTTGCAGACAGGGTACAGTGTATTATACCAGCCCTCCCCTACACCCACAAACACGCGACTCGTCCCTATCCGTGATCGTTCCGCATCGTTGTATAGTGTTCGCATCAATATTACATCGACATTCGTCGTACCAGATGACACGCGTTTCATCGACGGTAACAGTCATACAGCTGTGACGAAAAATGCAAATTACGAGCCCTCATTTTTTTCAATATTTTGACTCGTATTTATAATCCGGATTGGTTGATGACGTATACAGCCACATTATCCGTCCGTCTCCGTAGCGCAATATGTCCTATGTTTTCCGTTATGTGGCGTATCCAAGGCGAGGATTCCGACAAAATAGTTTGATATCCCTACTGGTTCTTCTGTCGTTATTGGGCTACCTCTACTACACGGCGTCCGTGCGGCTGAAGGAGATAGAGCGCCAGCAAAGAATTATGGCGATGGGCGCTACCGACGATGATGAATACGATCACGAGTCAGGAAGAATTGTTGAATGGAAAGCAAAATATGACAGAGATGAGTACGTTTATCAGAAGTTTAACCGCTCGTGCTATATGCCAAACATGCCGCCGTATTTACTGAAAACGCCAGTCAAGGAATCCGTGTTGAAACAACGGGGCTGCGAACGAAGACTTCCGAGCGCAATCATCGCTGGTGTTCGGAAGTGTGGGACGACTCCATTGATGAACTTCCTCCTGCTACATCCATCTATCGTTGGACCAGGTCCCGAGCCGCATTATTTTGATGCGCAGTACGACAAAGGTATCGACTGGTACAGGAACCAGATGCCATATTCTGCCCCGCACCAAATCACCATCGAGAAAACACCGACTTACTTCATCCACCCTCACGATGTACCCCCAAAAATACGCATGGATGTGTCCTTAAATACCAAAATCATACTTATTCTGTGCGACCCTGTCCACCGCCTTGTGTCTGATTACTTGGAATGGACGATGAAGCAGCCAAAATTTTCTCTTGGAATGCGACACAAGTTCATCGCGGAGACGTTTGAGAAATCCGTCATAGAAGGCGATCGATTCGGGACGGTCAACATGTTCAATGAGATAGTTGATCTTGGTGTATACGTGAAACATATGATTCGCTGGTTTGAGTATTTTCCCCCGGGACAAATCATGATAATAGATGGGGAAACCTTCAAACTCAACCCAGTTCAAGAATTACAGCGACTTGAGGATTTCTTGGGAATCCGCCCTTTTTTTCAGACTGAGCATTTTTACTACGACAGCACCAAGAACTTCTTTTGTATGGCGTTCCCAGAGAAACGATGCCTGGGTAGCAGCAAAGGTCGAACGCACCCGGATATTAGTGAACGCATACTGAAAACACTGTGTGAATATTACAGGCCATACGACATCACCCTTTCCAAAATGACAGATATGACATTCTCTTGGCTGGGGAAATGTTAGCCCACTATACACACATTTTTGGTAATGATTTCGTGTTTGTTTTTTGTTTTTTTGTAAAATATGATTATTATAATCAAACACAACACGTGACAACTAGTTTTTATTTCGGTTTATTTTAATTGTTTGATTGAACTGATGTTTTTACAAACGAATATAAATAATTATTAGATTTGAGGAAAAGTAACTTTTCCGTAATGTATTTTTGAAAAAAATCATTTTGTGACGTCACAATTTCTTCATTTTGTGTGATTTATAGAATTGATAATTTACTGAACGCTAGTATACCTGACGTAGCGTACGTCATTATTGTATTTGTTATTTGTTGAATGATTTGGTGAATCGGCAGCTGTTAATTTTACATGTACAATATTTTATTGACGATTGTGCATTATTTAATAACGCTAGTACGCTTCATAAGAGATTAGAGACGCTGACAGATGGTTTCATCAAACAAAACGATCATTGAATCATGATGACTGCTGATGAAATAGTCACAGAAGTCAATCCCTATGTAAGGGAATTACATTTCATGATTAATTTTTAATACTAAGTAAGCGTTTTTTGTTATTTTATTTTCATCGATTGTCTATTCATTTTATTTCTCAGTAATTTTACTCTAAAGAGAAAGAAAATAATGTCAATAAAGTATTACAATATATTTAATATGAATATTGCGTGTAAGTATTACAGTGAATTTCATGAAGCCATGAATATTGTTATGGAAATTTATAATATATTTATTAAAAAAATACCACGGAATACCCTCGGCTTCATTCAAATCTGCGTTAATTGTATATATAATAAATTTGATAACGCCAATGAGTTTTAATTATTGGCCGACCCGTTAACAATTTCCACTAAGTGCGATCTGATTAAAATCCGATGTAGATACTAAAATGTTGTTGGTATTACTTGCCGTTATTAAGTGTCTCGTATCTCGGTCGCCGGTAAGTAAAACAAAAACATGTATAAATACAATAACAAATATAGAAATTAAAAAAAATAGAGCCGATACGTTGAACTACTTCGGGTTTTAATCAGATTGCACCAAGTGATGTATACGACTTTAAGTTTGAGAATTTTATATTTCACCATTCACCGAGTAAAAACAATCCAGTACTACTGTTAATGATATCTTATCAGGATATAGAAGAAGACAGTCACGAATCGGGCAGTTTGAAAACATAATTAACCAGATGTAGGTTTTCTCAAAAACACTAGTGTCTTTGGTTTTCTTCTGAGTCAATCATAACTTCGTAACATCATATCATTAACATCAAAATTATTTTAAAATAATTCAGGGGAAAACAGCATACCTGCCAGTCGCGATATATGATTGTTCCCCACGTGGTGCCACATATTTGTATCGGGAAATATGACATGTCATTACCATACAAACCAATGATGAAAGAGTCCCAACTTAATAAAATGGTCGTCATCACTTAATTTAATATTTGTAACATGTCTGGTGATCCTCATAATTGTTAAGCAACATATGGCCCACAATAAAATTTAATGTAATTTGATTTATTTATGGAAGGTATTTATTAGAGGTTTGGCGAAACATAAACCTCTCTTCTAAGGTCTATGGGCGAATAGACGCGATACCTAATACTAGTAGGTAATTTCACGGAGGTATGTTTGATAAAAAAATAACAGACAAAGAAACAAAACAAACAACGAACAAAGAAATAAATAATTCAGGCATGGCCAGTTGGCATTTATATGTAAATTCCAAAAAATATTCATATAACATTTATCCAGAAAAACCTTTGCGTTTCATTGAAATCCAACGAAGACACTTACATTGAATATGTCTATCATATTCTTTATCTGAATATACCATACTAAAACATTTACAAGGCTCGTCGGCGAGCATAATCTGGTTAAAAAGCGCCCTCACAGTCGGTGTAATCAAGCTTCATTCAACATGGCGGCGTCCAGGGTATTTCGGTCTGCTGTCTGTTTTCCTGCGACCACTTGGAAAATAAGGTATGAATAGGTGCTGCGTTGCATGGGGAATGATAGTTATCGCATTGCGCAATCACAATATACGTCAAGTCGAATAAAACTGCTGATAGGCATTAATAAGAAAGTCGTGTCGATGACAACACGACACACGTGTCGAACTCTGCAACCCTATTAAGACCATAGGCGCTTGTCACGTTTATATTGTCAGGAATCAAGTTGTCTGTATCACAGGCAGTCTTTACGTTGCTTGGTTCATGAGATAAATCGCCCCTAGAACCAAAATCGTCCTAAGTTATACACTCCTAGAACTAAAGAAATAGTCAAGTAGGAAACCTTCGTCCGTCAAAATAAATAAATAAATACAATTTTAAAAAAAAAATGTTCCCATCAATCATTACCATTCAAACTCGCAACGAATGACAACAAATTCATTTCTAGTCGATCGATCGATCAATCTTTATTTACCTTTGCTTATCTTTATCCTGTATATTTTGGTGAAAATGTCACGAAATCCGACGAGGTAACAACTCTTGGTAGCGGCCATTTTATTAATTCCTGACACTCATTCCTGACAATGATGTAATCTTGTCAAGCGCAGTTCATATGCGCGTGTGCACAAAATTTGTTGTGATACTTATCATCAGTATTTAACAAATTTGTTAAGGTAGGTAGGACGAACCATGCAGCTACATTGTCTGCCTGCCAGTCTTGGATATTGAAATACAAAATGTTGAAAGTCTAAGTACAGAAAGATTTGGCAAACTTGATTACTGTGACAATGGAAACATTATTGTCAATACATATGCTGAAAACCGCAACCATATATCACTTGTGCTATGTGAGCTATGTCTAATTTAATTGCCAGTATACATTACACATTCAGTGCACAATTTAAATACATAAAACTTTATGTAAAAAAAAAACTTTTTTATAAACTCTTCTATTTATAAAAATAATGAAAGTGATAAATTCTTACTGCTTGAGAGGGATATAGCACATGTCTCTGCTAAAGGAGATGTTATCCTGTTA